GGGGGGGGGGGGGGGGTCTGTTGGCTGCGCACATGACAGCGCCCGCTGTGAAGCAGGAGAGGAGAGAGGAAAAAGTTCAAAACCCATCTCTAGTGGCAGAAGAGGTGGCAAGATGGCTATTTGATGTTATTTATTGTTTTTTAAATCATCCTACAGGCTCTGACATGTTAGATTAGTTTGAAAATGAGGTTTTGAAAAAATCCGTAGGACTTGAAAAAATCCGTGAGATTGCTCTATACGTCAGTATACCTGCAAAATGACGTAAAATCCTTATAACTTACGGACAATCCATACAAGTTGACATGTATGCATGTTGTCGTATCGCACTACATGCTCATATTCCTAAACAAAAGCAGCTTTCTCCAGGAGGAAATTTGCTGTCAGTCAATCCAAGAGTTAATCCACGAGCAGAATTCTACTGGCGTCAAAATCATGAGCGTGCTGTACTCTCTTCTACCCGCTTAGAACCACCAGAGAAGAGGTTCTGAAACAGTGCAGCTGTGGAGCACACTTGGAGAGATGCAATGGGCCGAGAACGAGCCGAGTCGAACCGCGTACAAGAGCGTTCGTGGAGATTGTGTGCCGAGGCTGTCGCTGTTAACAGTAAACACCAGAGGGCACAATTTAACATCTTTCTTTGAGGCACTGAAATAAGGCACCTAAGTTAGAGTTGTGTTTTGGTCTGTGTACTACCGCTGATGTTCGCCCCGGTGCCATACTGGAACAGAGTTTTGGTATCCAACCCTACTCCTAGGTTGGTTGCCTGTCAAGGCTATCGAGCCCCACCTGCCCTGCTGCTTTTGGTTTGCGGTACCTTATTTACCTTTCAGCTTATTCAGGCACACCCTGACATACAGTAACCCAAAAAAAAGGAACCCCGATCAAACCACCTCGAGGACATGCCTCTACGCTGTGCAGTCTCAGCAAGGGGAGGACCCTGAGATACCTTAACTCCTTCACATGGGGCCGGACATCTTCCCCGACCCAGAGAAGGCACCCTACCCTTTTCTGGCTCAAGACCATGGTCTCAGATTTAGAGGCACTGATCCTCATCCCAGCTGCTTTGCACTCGGCTGAACATCGCTCAAGTGAGAGCAGGAGATCATGATCTGATAAAGCCAATAGGATCACATCATCTGCAAAAAGCAAAGATGTGATCCTAAGGTCACCATAACAGATCCCTTCAACACCTTTGGTTTGCCTAGAAATTCTGTCCATAAAAGTTATGAACAGAATCGGTGACAAAGAGAAACCTTTGTTGAGTCCAACTCTCACTGGAAAACGAGCTTGATTTACTACCAGCAATGTGGACCAAGCTCTGACACCTGTCAAACAAGGACCTAACAGCCCATATCAAAGTTACCCCATACTCCCAGAGTACCCCCACAGGTCTTGCCAAGGGACACAGTTGAATGCCTTCTCCAAGTCCACAAAACACATGTAGACTGGTTGAACGAACTCCCATGCACCCTCCAGGACCCTGCTGAGGGTGTAGAGCTGGTTCAGTGTTCCATGACCAGGACAAAAACCACACTGCTCTTCCTGAATCTGACTATCTGATGGAATCTCCTCTCCACAACCCTTGAATAGACCTTACCAGGGAGGCTTAGAAGTGTGATCCCCCATAGTTGGAACACACTCTGTGGTCCCCCCTTTTTAGTAAGGGGACCACCACCCCAGTCTGCCAATTCAGGGGAACTGCCCCCGATGTCCACCCAACATTGTAGAGTCGCATCAACCAACGCAACCCTACAACATCCAGAGCCTTAAGGGACTCTGGGCGAATCTCATTCAATCTCAGTGCATTGCTACCAAGAAGCCTTTTAACCACCTCGGTGACCTTGGCACCAGAGATTGGTGCATCTGACCCAGGGTCCCCATGCTCTGCTTCCTCATGGGAAGACGTGCTGGTGGGATTGAGAAGGTCTTCCAAGTATTCTGCCCACCAACCCGCAACGTCCCAAGTTGAGGTCAGCAATGCAACATCCCCACCATAAACAGTGTTGGTGGCGAACCGCTTTCCCCACCTGAGTTGCTGGATGGTGGACCAGAATCGGCTCAAAGCCGTATAGAAGTCTTTTTCCATGGCCTCTCCGCACACCTCACATGCCTGAGTTTTTGCCTTAGTAACCACCCGAGCTACAATCCGCTTGGACTGCAATACTTATCAGCTGCTTCTGAAGTCCCACAGGCCAAAAAGACCCACATCCTTCCCTAGCCTGACAGCATCCCTTGCCATCAGTGTCCACCAGTGGGGTTCGAGGGTTGCCACAATAGGCATGATAACTTTATGGCCACAGCTTCGGTAAGCTGCCTCAACAACAGAGGCACGGAACATGGCCCACACGGACTCAATGCCCCCCACCTCCCCCAGATCATGTTCAAAGTTCTTCCAGAGGTGTGAGTTGAAGCTCAGTCTGACGGGAGACTGCCAGACATTCCCAGCAGATCCTCACTATAAGTTTGATACCAGGTCTGACCGGTAACCTCCCCCACCATCGGAGCCAACTCATCACCTGGTAGTGGTCAGTTGACAGCTCTGCCCCTTTCTTCACCAGAGTGTCCAAGACATGCAGCCGCAGATCAGATGAGATGACAACAAAGGCAGTCATAGAACTGCAGCCAAGAGTGTCCTGGTGCCAAGAGCACATATGGACACCCTTATGCTTGAATATGGTGTTTGTTATGGACAATCCATGATGAGCGCAGAAGTTCAATTAGGCCTGTCGCGATAGACAATAAATCAATTAATTGCACGATAACTTTTTTTGAGGTCGGTAAAAAAATGAGGTCGATAAGTTTCATTTTCCTGCTTGTTGTTTACTTCGTCTCTCTCCCTCTC